AAAAAACAAACAAACGTATAATCACATCTTCACATATAATCATATCACATCTTGCACACGTTGTGTCACTGAGTATGACTTCATCTTTACGTCAAAAAAGTACAGCTGCCTTCGACGAATCATTTGATCTTGTTCTATGAGTCATATCGTAATCGTAATGCTCAAGGTAACGTCACTGCCAGGAATCAAAAAGAGATCAACACCGAAAAAATGACTCACAAAGAATATACGATTCTTATGCTAAAAATAAACACAAAGAATGAGGATTCTTTGCGTCACTAGAAAAAAAAACTATTGCCCAAGAAAATTTTGAGATAGGGACCTAAACAAGAGGAACAGATTCGCGTAGGTTTCAAATCTAGAATAAATCAACTTTCAGTTAGATGATTAACAACAAAAATAAAGAGCGATTCAGATATACAATAGCTTTTCATCCTATCTTCATTAGGAACATCGATTTTACAAAATTCAAGCTCATTACTCCACATTAAAAGTAACTAAAATTTATTCTCAAAATTAACCTCACACCTCGCCTATTTTCCCACTAATCCGAGCCTCTACGATTCTCATTACCTGCCTAAGCTAGCAAATAATCCTCGCACATCCAGCACTACATACCTACTTGACCTCGACGCTCGTATCCGGTTCATACCACTCCATAATCCCCCATATAAACGTTCCCGGTATAGTTCTGTGTCGGTTGCTTTCAAACACCATGTCCGCTTCCGAGACGACACAAGATCCGCTTGCGCTGACCCTATACGATACCATACAAATATGCTATGACCCATACTATAACATTCATCAAAGCTGCCGGCTATTGTGCATGCCGTACATCCTCGATATTATGGAGGGTGTAATGCTTAATCCGCTACCAGATACCAGCACATCTGGTCAGATGCACTCTTCCATACCATGTGGGGACATGACTTGTCTGCCCTAGAATCGTTTTTCAGTAATTTCATGCTGCTCGCTAAGTGTGTGAGAATTTTAAAATGAGAATCAATGAAGTCGAATGTAGTCACAACAAAGATATTGCCGCTAACAGGATGACACAATAAAAACTAGATGGGACCATTAAAACCAACATGCAATCCGATCTATACCCTTTGACTAAAACTAAGGAAAATTAAGGGACCAAGCTCAGCTGCCTGGGAAAAATAAGGAGTAACAAGCTTATTATCCAGTTTCAAAAAAAAGATTAAAATGTTTGACTACTGCTCTCATGTATGTAAGCCTTCTCACT